AAGTCCGGCAAATATTGAAATTAATTACCGTATTAACACTCGGGTACGAACCCATATTTTGACAATTTCATGAAAACGTTATGTGGAACTGTTAATCGTATTAGGTGGTATTAACCAACGTACCTAGCATTAACTAATACCTTACCGGAGATGGTATCAGACTAGCATCCAGTGTGTGCAAACATTTGTTTTAATATGAGCGTGTTATCATAATATGTATTGTTTATTGTCTTAATTTATGTTATTACATTGGGTGAGCAACTTCATCGCTGATATTCTGACTTGGTTTAAGACGAAGGTACATCCAGATGCCAGCTACATGATAAAGCAGCCAGAGATATCCGCAGATATGCGCACAATTTTGATCGATTGGATCGTCGACGTAGCCCTAGAGTATCACTTGAACCAGGAAACATTGTTTTTGTCGGTCGCCTATATCGATATGTTTTTGTCAAAGGTGGCCGTTACCAAGGACAGACTGCAATTGGTCGGAACCACATCGGTCATGATTGCGTCGTAATATTTTTGCTGCTTTCATTTATTCGTTCGAATGTGATTTTTTTGCTGTTTAGGAAATATGAAGAAATTTATCCTCCGGAACTGAAAGACTTTGTTTACATAACCGACAATACTTATAGCAAAGAGGAGGTAACGCAGCTTTTCCTTGTTATGTTACTGAAATACAATATCATAAAACGGTAAATTACCCTGTAAGCTTCAATATGTCTCAGATATTTGGGGTGAAACTATTTATGGTTGCTTCAATGATATGTCAACTCAAGTAACGTTTGCTGCTAGCAACAGTCACATTGTCAATGCAAACTTCAGCCTGAAAGATATGTGATGCACAAACAGGCAAGTTAGTAATGGTTTATCTCATATCACTTTGTGTTAAACAGAACATGATTTATGTTTTTTCACTATTATTGTCAGCCTACCAATAAACTACTAAGTTTTACTGTATTGTTAAATTATGAGCTTGCATGCTCAAAACCCCAAAAGTCCTTTAAAAATCTTGCTTGTTGACATAAGTTTTAATTTTGATATGCGGAACATGATCCGTGCACGAGCTTTAAGTTTGTTCGGTGTTTTTGAACAACAATCGTTCGCAATAATAAGCAAGATAGCGGAACAGTAACATGGGAGTATTTGGTATTTTTACTCATTCATTTGCTATCTCTCCCCAGACTTGCTGTAAAAACTACACAGAATTCGATTATGTCATTACTCAGACGAATCAGCGAAAGACGCATCTTTTACCACTTGATTGTTATGCTTCGCTCTCCATGAATCTAGCCTCTTATCACAGACCTAGGAATATAATGAAGGGAGACTTACTTCTATTCAGAAAACATATCGGATTGAGGTAGCATGGAGAGTGTTTTCCACTACAGCATTCCTGAGGATTTATCATAAGCCCTAAGCTGCCTGAAAAGGGCCTTTGCCAGTTGATGCCTCTACAGCTTATAGTTTTGGAAGAAAAATCAACTTTTTAGGTTACAGGCCGCAGTTATTTCCTTCATAAGTGTTTTTGAATGCGGACATCAGTTTGGGTGGGAAGTCATGCCTGAGCAGCGGAGTTCTTCAGAACTGAATGTCAAGACGAAATAAATTGAATTTTCAGTCGATGCGGCAGTAGTGATGTCTGTCATGAACTCCAAAAAATCAGAAAAAGATATGGTAATCGTCGGGTGAAATTCCATCTGAGTTAAAAATCTGATCTTACTGGTCGAATTGGTTCGACCCTCAATAAAGAAGACGGAGTCTCGACTGTACTTTTTAAAAAATTGTTTGTTAGTCAACACTGTTATTGACTTCCTGGGTGATTTCCATTCGGAAATGAAAAAGCATCCTGTTGAAAAGTTGCGGAATTTTGTCTTTTTTGAAATCTTACAATTTCTTGATCAATATTTATAATTATCAAAGGATTCTAGGACTCGGCTTGGAAAGCTGACATGATTGAAAATGGATAGTCTTGAGAACGTGTTTTTGTTGCGCCACAATTGACGTTCTAGTTGCATCTAAACAGAAAGATTAGGTATTCATTACAGGGAGGTTTGAATGATTCAAATACCATATCCAGCTTTTTGGTTGAATTTCGATTCATCTCTGGCCAGTCCTGTTTGGACAAACCTTTTTCAGTGTTAAAGATGTCAGATAATGCCCGTTTGTTTTTGTAAACAATCCTTTGCTTCCTAAGCTTTGCCTTCTTCATATTACAAGGAATTAAATTGGGTGTTTCACGACGGTCTTGTTGATTGAGCAGCATAGCAGTTAGCCTGATAATAAATTGGGCTTATAACATAAATTTCTATTTGCAAGTGACTAATTTTCCAGGTGCTGAACATGGAAAGAATTATTCTGGACACTTTGCGATTCGACATGGCTGTACCAACAGCGAACGCGTTCTTAGTCTACTTTTTAAAGGCCTGTCCGGTGCCAAAACGATGTGAATTCTTAGCCATGGTAAGCCAGTAGCGAACGTATGAGGCGTATAAACGTCGAGTAACAACTCTTGTTTACAGTACTTGTCTGAACTGACCATCATTGACTACTGTTATTTACGATTTTTGCCCAGTCAAATAGCCGCGTCAGCCACCTGCCTGGCCCGAATAATAGCTGACGAAACTGCTTGGGTAAGAACCCCCGAATAGTAAATATTTAATATATTGATTTTTTTGCTCTTTTTATTTCTAATTTGTCTTCTAATTCTTTCTGCGTAAGCTCATGTGTTGTTTCGTAATGTCAGTCAGTCAAATTCGATGATCGCTTATCCTTTCGTCTCGCGGAGACAGATACATCGTCATGCAGTGTCCCTAACGTTGCTGATCCTGTGCCATCGTTTATGATTCAGAAGAAGATATCCCGAGGCTGGAGCAAAGTTCTTCGAGACATTTGTCCAGTGTAATTCCTGGTTCTCCGCGGGATCTTTGGCCAGATGGTAGGCGATATATAGCTGTTTCACATTGTTTTCTGGAGCAATTCACGACACGTGCCCACACCGTCGCTCCTGTAACGTCCCAATCTGAGAAGCAGCGACACCAGTCTATGTTTCTGACAATGTTAAGATGCGTGAGCACAGCGATTCGTCTTAAAATGTCTCTTTCAGGCGCTTATACCCTATATCGAAGTTTTTCTGTCATGGCTGACGACTCTGACCGTAGATGAACATCGAGATGAAGATCGATTTCAGCACAAGCCGCTTAATCTTGAGACTCGGTGGTTTCAATCATAACGGTTCCAGCCAGCTCACGCAGATCGCCACTGACATTTTCAGTCGGCCAGTCGGTCATCTCCAATTTTCAATCATAAGTAAATACGATCCTGAGGTACTTGAATTTCTTAGTCTCTTGCGCTGCGTCTCTGTTAATCTGCAGAGCAAAACGGGCAACAGAACGAAGAAGCACTAGGCTTTTCGTTTTAGATACGTTCACACGCATATCGGCCATTCGGTTCTGAATCTTTCAAGAATGTGCTGGAGGTAGCTTTCAGAAGAAGTCAACGGAACAAGGTCTTATATGTCTTACGCTAATACAGTCGTAGTCTGACTATGACTGGTAACAGAAACAGTAGTTGGAGCATAACGCTGCTGCTTTGCGCGTTTCTTCGTACTGCATTCGAGTTTAATGCTGTTTGTTTCTGAGCCATCTGTTGAATGCGGACTACTTTTCGCTGACAACTAGTCGAACCTCTCGCGTCCACCATAAAG